CACGAACCCACGAAGTTGTCACCCCGCTTAGTCCTCCCGCACCCGTCGGATTCGCCCGTGCCCACAGTCCGTCGTGGCCCACGTCAATCCCGCGCATTTGGCACCAGCCCGTCGGGTTGCCCAACTCCAACTCTACTCACCTCTTACTTCGCTCGTGTGCCGACCCTTCCTGATCGCGCAACCCCGAGCTTCCAACAACGGGTTAAGAGAGCTGACTAATCGCGCAGCCAAAATTTATAGCATGCATGCATGCGCGAAGAACACGGAATTACTAGGACTTAGAGTGAGGATTAGAGAGGGAGCGCCTACGTTTTGCATGATCGGCCGCGGCGTGGGGGACGTAACCCTTCTCCACGCATCGATCCAAGCATGCAAGCCGCGGCTTACAAAATTTCAGCAAAAGAAAAAGAGGGAGGGCGGGAGAGACGAAGTGCAAGAGGAGAGATACGGTTACAATGGCGCCCGCCCAAAATTACAGTTACACATACGATTAAGGGCGCCCACTAATCAGAGTACCGTTGCAGCCGCATGAAGGAGTGCGTAAACAAAAGGCGCCGTGCGGCAGGAAAAATCCTAATTGTTGAATTCCTAAATTCCTATCTAATGCGAAAAAACAAGAAGAAGCACGAATTCCAGAAGGAAAGTCCGAAATTTCTAAAGCCATTGGGGGCTCGACAAAATTCACAAAAAAGATTCAAAAGAAAATTCAAAAAGGAACAAAGCAATTTCCCGCGTGGCGTCCGCGCCCAAAAGATCGAAAACCGAAGCGAAAGAAATGACGTCAATATTTATTAATCAAGCGCGCGCGTGGCCACACGCCAAACAACCATCCGACCAATCAATCCACCAACCGTCCCACGACACACCTGGCTACGAACCCAGTCGTCCGACACGAAGCGACGAAAAAGGACGAAAAAGCGAGGACACTGATGCAATTCTCCCACCGATCCCGATCTCCCATAATTGGCCCAATCTTCCCAGCTTAGGACCCCTCATTGCGATTGCGCAGAAAATCGCGCATTACAGAAAGTGGTTCGTCACATATGTGATGCCTAGGGGGTTCCAATATTAGCAAGCTTCTGCTTGCTTGTTGACACGTGTCAATTTCTCTAGTCGATCGACACGCGGAGCACTTCCTTCTATGCCACTTACCGTTCAACTGCGTGTGGGCGTCATCCAACGTGGCAACACTGCTCTTCTACTAGTTCCTCAGATTGGGCTCCTCGACGACTCAAGGACGGGATTCTTCTCGTGCCGTCGCCGCGACACGCGTCCATTACCGCTGCATCAGTAATTAACCGGAAGGGGTAAGGGAAGTCGATACGCGTATAGGGAGGGCGGGGCGGCTTCATCGTAAACTCGGGTATGAAGCGCCCGATCGCAGTGAGGTCGTAGGGAAGTTCTTGAAAACGGACAATGCGATGGAAACGGGGGAATCTCTGGCCGTTGCGGGGAAGGGAGGCGAGGTAGTCTGGGTAAAGGGATACGAGGGTTCGGAGGACGTCTGTGCGGAACCTATCATGGTTCTCGCACGTGGGGAAGGTCCCCGTAACGATGCAGTAAACCTCTATATGGTTACGGCCTCGCCACGCGGTGCTAAGGAGTAGAACGTGGAAGGAGTAGTTGGGGACAGCACACCGAACGGAAGGGTGAGGGTGGACAGTCAGTTCTAGGCGGGCGGAGTAGAAATGTCGGAAGGTGGCGATGGGGAAGGGATTACGAGCGTAGACGACGCGATGGAAATACTGATTGAAAGAGAGATAGCTAAGGGGATGGTGGTATATGGATCGGGGACGAAGGGCTAAGCCCCTCATTGACACGTTGACGAATTGGGGGACGGGCGGAGGCGGAGGGGGACGTGGATCGGGATCGGGATCGGCGCCTTGCCGTCGTGGCTCCCGAGGTCGTGGCAGCAAGGTCTCCATGTTCCGGCTTGGGCGGCTCGGGATCCTTGAAAGGATCGTTCGGTGCGGGATCGATGGCCAACCGCTTTCCTTCCGCGATCTCCTTCTTGCGCTGCGCAACAGCCTCCGGGTTCTCCTCTCGCCGATCCGGTCCTGGCACCCACTCGAGCTCGTCGTGCGTTGGCTCCTGGTCGTCCCCGCTTTCCACTTCTTCGTCGTCTTCGTCCTCCTCCTCACTTTGCTCKCCCTCRCTRTACTCGCTATAGGCCTCTTCCTCTTCCTCCGAAGTCTCCTCCTCTGCTTCTTCTTCTTCTTCTTCTTCTTCAGCTTCCGCCGACTCTTCTTCTGCTTCGCGCTCTTCTTCCTCGTCCTCGGCCAATCGGGCCGCTGCTTCCCTGGCCTCTCTCCTCAATTCTCCTTCCGATTCCTCTTCGGCCTCCTCTTCTGCTCTCAGCGCCGCCCACTCGAACGCCGTTGGTTGTCGAAAGAAGCGGGGATTAGTCAGGTTGTGGATGTCCAGGTACTCGCTACGGAAAACGGTCGTCCGCCCAGAGCTCCTCGATACAAGCCGACCACTGGAGGCTTGGGGCGAGAGTCCTTGAGAGGGTATGTGGCACGGGTTCTTCGTCGCTCTGAGAGACGATGTCGAGAGGGAGTTCGTCGGCCAATCGCGCGATCACGATCGTAAGTTCGCGCACGATCTGTGATCGGTTTCCCCGATCCACTGCTCCAAAGACGAATCCCAGAAGATCTCCCGCCACGTTGGTCCTCCACGCCTGAATGACGAGCAACTCCACAATCTCCGACGCGGGCCTCTAATCGCCTTCCCACGTCCAGTTCAAATCCACTCGTAGCAGGCAAAACGAGAGTTCGACAAATTCTGCACGCCACAGCCTCCAACGGTCTGGATCAACGATGGGTACTGTAAGTGGCTCTAGACAGATGGAGAGACGAGGGTAGTGAGAGGACTGCCAGAAGATGGGGAAGAGAGAGGGAGGAGAGAACATCGAGATTGGCGCGCAGCTCATCTGCGCGGCTGGAAGGGAGCAAGTTCTGGGAGGACGACAGGTGGCTCGCGTAGCGTGTTGACTTCGATGTCGTCGACAGGATAGCACTCGTCACCGTGCCTTGTGAGCCGTCGATACCAATCAGCGGCCAGATCGCGACCCCACCGGTACAAGGTGCTTTTGATGGCGGCTTGCCGCACCGGATCGAAGGCGGTGATGTCGCTGCTGAAGACTACCACGGTAGACACGTGGCTGATTCCCGGGGCCGCTCGCCGTTGGAACGTCGTTGCCTCGGCCAGCACCACTACCTGGGGATTGCTCGTGAATTGGAACTCTGCCGCGCCGTATACACCCGCAGTGCAGAAGAACTGCGCAAGGCGCATGAAGTCGGGGCTGATCCGCGGATGATGCACTTGGCGGATGGCTGAGATCTCTCCCCGTGGCATCAGCAACTAATCACTAATAGCTCGCTCGATGGCGAAACTCATGGCGATGGCGGGGGTGACGGGGTGGCAGAGAGGGAGCAAGAAAGGGAGGGAGATGGCAAAGAGTCTGAGCTGTCGTCGTCGGCTTCCTCAGAAAGAGAGATCGAGGGAGAGGGAGACGGAGCAGAGGGAAGGAGGCGAAGATAGGACACGTGGCGTGTGATCGGACGAGCCGATCGACTGCCAGAGACTTCAGGGGCGAGACGTACGGTGTCCACGCCGTTGGGGCCTGGCTCGATCACGCGATATCGCCCGAAGAATCGTGGCGCGAGCTTGCACCACGTCCCCCAATTTGTCTTGGGGCCGCGGACCCGCATTCCCATTTCGGGCCTCGTAGCTCCGAACTTGTCGGCCCTGGGCTAGTTCGGTCATTTTCTGTCGCTTTCGGGCTAGCCTGGGCAGCGACCGTTCCATTAACTCTAAGTGTCGTTTGGCCTTGTCCCGAGCCGTAGCCCTGGTGGGCCGTCGGTTCAATGTAGACTCATCCAGGAGGCTTGGTATCAAAACGCAAGCGACACTATTGGTTCTTAATTGGAAGGGGCTCAGCCCCGTCGATTCGTGGGGCGTTCCGCGATGGACCGCCAGGATGTGATCGACGATATCGGGCCAGGGTCTCGGATCCCGTGCCGCGATGTTTCGTCGCAACGCTATCTTTATCATCCGGTTAGCGTTTTCGACCAGCCCATTGGATTGTGACATGTGGGGTGCAGTGTTCCGTATGGCGACGCCATGTAGGACCAGATTCCTTAACCTTTCTCCCCTGAATTCAGCCCCGTTGTCGGTCAGGATTTCTTCCGTATCCTGATGCATCCTGAGGAAACAGTTGACATATCGTGCGATTTTCGTGGCTTGCCGTGTGCGACAAGAATACGCTTCGATCCATTTCGAGAAATGGTCGACAAATACCAATAGGACTGAATATTCGTAACTATTAGGGCCAGGGGGCACCACTATGTCCGTAGTGTCCATGCTTCTCTCTGAAATGGCCGTTCAACAACCGTGGGCGCTATCGACCTTGGTGGCTGAATCGGCGCTTTATCAGCAGCGCAGACTTGACAGGTGGCGACGATGTACTTCACATCGTCGCGGATATTGGACCAGTACCACTCATTTTTGTCGATAGCGTACTCTGTGATTCGTACAGCAAAATAAGCCGCAGTTTCCTCGGGGGCTGTCTTAACCCAGTCATACGGCATGAACGGATGCGGCACCACCATCCAAATCCCACTGCCGTCCGTTTTCCGTTTTTCTAATCTACCCTCTATCCATCGATAATCCCGAGCCCTTTTGTTGGGCCTCCTCCGATCTTCCTTGGTGAAATCCTGGAGGGGGTTACCTACTAGGGTGGCAATTAAGGCAATATTCGTCCATACTTCGGCCCTTCTAAACTTTCGGGTCTTTTCCAATCCTTCTGACGTGGCATCCAAAAAGTGAGCCTCGGTCAGAATTTTGTCGGTCCAGCACAAGGGGCACAACCATGGTTTACTATCGTTCCTGTATTGGATGCACGGGCCATGGGCCCATGCAACACACTGTCGACAATCTATCCAATCGACATACCCTTCCCCGTTAGGACACGTGGCGACCGAGTATACGCGGGAGATGGCTTCGCAAAAATAGCAAAATTTATCAGGCAGGGAGAGGAGAGACGAAGAGGAAGGGGGAGAAAGAGGGGTAGTGGGGTTACCTCCATCACCCATCACCACGTGGGAGAACTGCCACTTGTCCGTACTTCGGCTCGTTGGTCAAGTCCGAATCTTTCCACGGTGTAATTTCCTCGCCCTTTGGTACCTTGGCAGGTCGATGCAGACGTGTCAGCCCGTCCGCGTTGCCGTGTCGCTCTGTCTTTCGATGGACGATATCGAAGTCGTGTTCTTGTAGTCGCACCGCCCAACGACCAATCATGCCCGTGTAGTTGGTGAGCTTCTTCAAAGCTAGCAGAGGCTCGTGATCCGTCAAGAGGCGAAACTTCTGTCCGTAGAGATACGGATGGAAGTGCTGGATTCCCCAGAGCACTACATAGCATTCGCCTTGAGGCGCTGAGTCGTTCCTTCGTTCGTCCGACACGGTTCGTGACGCGTACTCGATGACGTGTTCGCGACCATCGTTCCCCTTCTGCGCTAGAATAGCGGAAATAGCTTCCGGTTGCCAGTCCGTGATAAGAATGAACTGCTTCGAGGGGTCCGGTCGAATCAAAATAGGGGCCGTTGCCAGAGCATCCTTGAGGGTTGCAAAGGTCTGTTGGCACTTCGCGTCCCAGCTGAGAGGCTGGTCCTTTCGTAACAGGTTCGTTAGTGGTCGTGCAATCGCGGCAAAGCCCTTGATGAAGCGCCGGTAGTACGACGCCAGTCCCAAGAAGGCTCGAACCTGCGTCAGTGACGTAGGAACCGGAGCTTCCTTCACCGCCGCAACTTTTCTCGAGTCTGGCCGCAATCCTCCACGTGTCACGACATAGCCAAGAACGAAATTTATGAGAGGAAAAATTCGCTCTTCTCAAGCGCAATCTTGAACCCAGCGTCTCTTAGTGCACCCAATGTCCATTCGATGTGTTGCGCGTGCCCGTGATAGGTTTCCGAATAGACCAGGATGTCGTCCATGTACACGATCACACATAAGTTAATCATTCCTTGCGTTAGTCGTATCTTGCTGACGAAGTTCTGGAACGTCATGTTCATCGCTCGCTGGAACGTGGCAGGCGCATTGCAAATCCCCATCGGACACCGAATCCACTGTCACGTGCCTTCAAACAACACATAGGCTGTCTTCGGCCAATCTTCTTCCCTTACCAGAATATGATGGAAGCCATGCCGAATATCAAACTTACTGAAATATTAGCGCATCCGATCGCATCCAACAGATCATCAATCCGGGGGAGGGGATACACATCTTTGATCGTGATTTCATTCAGCTTGCGATAATCAATGCAAATGCGAATCGCTCCGTTCTTCTTCGGTACTAACACTACAGGAAAGGACCAGGGTCCAGTAGCGGGTTCAATCCAACCGCTGGCTTCGAACTCTCGAATTCGTTCGAGAGCCTTTTTGCGTTCAATCAAGGAATAACGATAAGGTTTGCAATGAATCGGGGAATGATTTCCTGTCTGAATTTCATGTTGGATTACTAATGACAGCCCAATGTCAGTGTCTGACACACTAATCGCTCCTTGATATTCTGTAAGAATATCTGCAATTACCCGGTGGATTTCATCCGGCACATATTGTGGGACGTGTAGTTCAAAAGGTTGGTCCCAGATCCGAATGTCAAGCCGTTTCGTGTTCGCCTGTTTTGGGTGGAGGCGCCGAGATGAATGAATGATCTGATCGCCAGGAGAACACCGTGGCCATCATGTGAGCATCTTCTTCTCGGATTGCCACGTGTCCTTCCGAGGTAATCCCGCCACAAACATCCTGCCATGGCACTTCCTTGGTTGCGATCTTTATCCCCTGTCCGTCGGTTTCCGCTTCAAAACGCCCAGGGGGTTCCAGAGAGGTTGCTCCTGCCCCTAAGCATAACAATCTCACTTCTTTGGCCGAGGTTAGTAAGGACTTGGGTAGAGCCGTAATGTCACAGTAATGCTTCTTGTCGCTGTACCGGGCGAGGAGAGGGGTAATTCCTTCGTATTGAGTTTGAGGGGGTTCCAAAGAATCGACCATCCTTGAAATTTGCACGAGGGGCTCACCCAAGATCATCGCCTTGGTCCTTTGAATCTTTCGGCTGGTTAGTTGCATCGTTCTCGCTATCGTTTTTGGCGGCAAGTAACAAACACGTTGTCGTGCTAATTTCAAGATCTCCGGATCATCCTCGTCACTGCTTTCCTCATCATCTGTTGACGACTGTCCTTCTATGGATTTCTCCCAGGAGATTATGCGGAGAGTCCCTGCCATCATCGGCGAAACCCGGGGAACCGCGTTAATAGTAGTGCGAAGGGTCAATCGCATGGGCACAGCGTAGGGCTTTCCTCCTGTATTTCGGAGGACGATCGATCGTCGTTCGAAATCCAGGTTTGCTCGTAACGCCACAAGAGCGGGAAGTCCGAAGAGAACGTCGTACGTATTGACATCTAGTACTACTACATCCCCAAGCGCATGCACCTTATCCAATCGGAAAGCGACATTGGTCATTCTTCCCACGGTTTTAATTCTTTCTTCGTCAGCCGAAACGAGCTGATCTTTCTCAGGAAGCGTGATCAAGTCGTTTTTCCTACCTGCCCTTTCGACCACCCTCAGTGAGATAGCCAACACAACCGCTCCCGAATCTATAATAGCATTGTAAGGGATTCCCCAAATTTCTATATCACACTCGGTGGATTTCCACGGAATTGGTTTAATCTGCAAGAAATTATCATCTTTCTGGATTAAACCTACTCGTATCGGATCTGAAGTACTTGCGGGGTTTTTTTCGGGCGCGGGGCTTTCGGCTTTCGCGTTCGGGGTTCGGGCAAGGGCGAATCGCTTTCAGTTCGTTTTGCAATGCTGTAACATTCGCTCGTTGGCTTGCTCGGAGATCGAGAGCAGATGACCAATCGGAAGGGGAATCGCCTTCCGAATCCGATGGTCCAAAGCTCGGATGATGTTTAATACATCGATCTCCCCGGTGACGAAGGTGGGTCCTCCCGACTCCATTTCTCCTAGGGACGGTCGCCACTCCGCCACCTTCTTTGGTTCTGGCGCTGGTTTGATTGTTCCAATCATTCCAAGCCTATGATATCCCAGCGACACATACTGGTCTAGCGGGATCAGTTCGGCGGCCTCTTCCGTGGTAGCCAGGGCACTTCCCCCACTTTCTACTTCTTCGTCCAGGTCCGTTGGCGATGGGGGCTGCAGCCATAGGTGCCACCCCGATTCGTTGTGGCGGGGGTCGGTGGGGGCAATCACGGGCTAGATGGCCTGGTTGATGACAGGCGTAACAGACATTCAGATTATTTGCGACTCCTCCGAGCGCAGGGGCCAGGGCTAATCCTTGCTGCATCGGAGGGGCACGTACCGCAATGGGTCGCATGTTCCTCATCATGGCTTCTAGCCGAGCATTGTGCTCTCGCTGATCCTTTTTGCTTTCCTGGAACAAGCTAATCAAGGTTTTGGTTAGTTAAAAAATGGCCGCCGATTCGTTTGATCGTACAGGCGCCTCAACCGGTGGCGGGGGTAATGCCCTGACCGGCGGGGGCATCATAGGAGCAGAGATGCTCGGGGTCTCACTTAGGATTACTCGTTTGGGGCCTATCTGTTCCATATAGGTGACAGGTCCAGATACGAACCCCATGTTTTCAAATTTGTTCTGTAAAGCATCCAGCTCTGCTCTCGATCGAATCTCCGTCTCTAGGGTAATCTTCTCCTTCCAGGAAGTTCGCCGCGAACTTCCGTTCCATTTCTTCCGCAGCAGCCATAATTTGTTGTAGCGTTGTGAGGAAACCCAGGGAGGGGCGCCTACCGTTCGTTGAGGCCAGGGGCTACAACGCCTGTCACTCGCTGCGCCCGTTCAGAGGTCCTCGACGTTCAGTGGCTTGACTATGAACCGTGACTTCAGTCATGCGATCACTTTTTGCGCTAGCTTGCGCACTGCTGTTCCTTACTGCTGAAAACGAACAATCAAAGGTTAAAACGATTTGCTCCGGTCTTTGTCCAGGGCGCTGATACTCAGCAAACGTGTCCGGAACTTTATGAATAAATCGAATAACAATAAAATAAAAATAAAAATGAAAAGGGCTCTCCTTTGCTGTCTGTTCACAGTCAGCCCGCTCGTTCGTACCCAAGCTCATATTATCCCGCCTGATCTCTCTCTCTCTCTGAGCTCATTCCGCTGCCCCCGCTAGATAGCTGCTAGGAATTGACATTAGATAAAATAAAAAAAACAGCAACTGTTATTCGTGCTGGTCCAGTCCCTTCGATCAAAGTTTCACATGAGTACCCTGGTGGACCAACCTGACTCTCGATCGAATCTTAAGTCTTACCTCCTACTTCCTTTTATGTTTGATCGGTGATGTATGTTTGATTGCCTGTTCAGCAAGTGTACCTGGACTTAGGGGTTTGCCCGATTCTCGGATCAACGACGGCGTTGGTTGGGTGTTCTGCAGAAGTGAAGTGACTGGTTCGTCGTAGGCGAGAATGCTCGAATATTAGCTTGATCGGCAGAAGTGGTCAACAATAGCCTCGATTGGTTGCTCTGCAGATGAGAAGTAGCCGACCCGCCAACAGCGGAAATGCCCAACTAGTTGTTCACTGGATTACATCGTCCCCGTCAGCGGTGGGATCACCTGATAGATCGCTTGAAGGGTACTGTTTCCACTACCAACGGAATCACATGATCGGTCACACTGAAAAAATATATATATATATATCGTTCCCGCTAGCAGCGGTGTCACATGATTGATAGTATGCTAGCGTGCATCATTCTTGCTAGCAGCGAGATCACATGAATGGTCACACCGATGATTGCTGTTCTCGCTAGCAGCGGGATTTCAGATTGGTCATTCGGTGGCGAGCACTGCTCCCGTTGTCTCCCTTGCCCTTTCCCTCCTACTGCACAGTCTCTTCTCTCTCACTCGTTCACATCTTCCCATTACCACTCTCTCTCTGCGTCTTTCTCCTCTCTCTCACTATGCACACTCTGTGTGTGTGTGCGAGTGTCTGTGTGGGGGAAGATTCGTTGCTAATATAATGAGGAGAAATACGAAGGCATATAGGCCGCAGATCCGCGTGTAGACGGCCCGCTTCGTTGAGATGATTCCTGCTTACAAATTTGTGAAGAATGGGACGGGCATATCAGCCCAGGAATAAAAAAAAAAAAAAAAAAAAAAAAAATGCAAGTATTGGCGCGACCTTTTTTTTTTTTTTGCTAAGAATTACGCAGTAATAGAACAGGCATATTAAGCCTCTAAATCTGCATGTATTCGCCCCACTTCTCAGGCCGGATTAATGCTCATAATCAGACAGGAGTTGAACTGGTACATCAAGCTCCCAAAATCTGCTCGTATTCGCTCCACTTATTAGGGCGGATTAATACTCACAATTGGACAGCAATGGAACGGGCAGATCAAACCCCGAAAATCTGCGTGTATTCGCCCCACTTATAAGGGCATATGAATGCTCACAATTGCACTGCGATGGAACGGGCAGATCAAGCCCCGAAAAGCTGCATGTATTCGCCCCAGTTATCAGCGCAGATTAATGCTCACAATTTCACTAACATGGAACGGGCAGATCAAGCCTCGAAAATCTGCATGTATTCACCCCAGTTATCAGGGCAGATTAATGCTCACAATTGCACTAACACCCCCCGAAAATCTGCATGTATTCGCCCCAGTTATAAGGCAGATTAATGCTCATTATTCAGACAGCGGTTTCTCATCCACTTTCAGTCGAAGTTCCCCCCCCGTACCTCGAATACCGTCTGTGGTGCTGTCCGTGTAGCTGGGCCGGCCGTGATTTTGGTACATCAGGTACCCGATCTCTCCCCCTTCCTCTCGCCCACGATATGTGCTTCTTCTCTCTTACTCTGACCCGCAACAAGGTGAAGCCCGTTAGCTAGTTGGTTCAGTAGGGAGCTACAAACGCCATGCACGCCCGTTGCGAACCGAGCGCGGAGCTTGCTGAGTCCCCCACGTGCACGTCCAGAGTTTTCTCTTCTCCCCTTCTTTGCTGTCTGTAGCATCTTTTCCCCGTTCCGCTCTCCAATCGAGCGCTTTGACCCCGCGCGATACGCCAGAGGTGGGCGGGGTACACCTGGCGCACGGAAGGGTTCCAGTCCGAATCCCCCCTCACACCTCTCACGCTGTCCGCCCTCTATAACTACCTCGTTTCGGTTGCTGTACCCTGCGCAGTGCACTAATTGCTTGCTCGTCTCCAGTCAACTTCCGGGATGCTGGGTACGCCTGGCACGCATCTTCGAAAACGTCCCCTTGGTATCCGTTTGCCTCCTCCCCTTGCCTCCGTCCAACTCTCGGCCTTGTATTCTCGCAGGGCGCTCAAAGAGGGCCAGAGTCCGTCGTTGTTCCCAAAATCGCTCGGGGCTGGCCCCCGGTCAATTGCAGCGCCAGGCACCCCCGACCGCGCCTGCCTGATGTCCATTCCCAGTTCATTAGACTGGCGTAGTGGTCCCAAAACTGTAATAAAGCGCCATAGTGGCACCAAACGTGGAATAAATGGCCGCAGTGACGATGCCGAGTCTGGGTTAAATAGCCGTGATAACGCCGAACCTGGAATAAACTGCCGCCAACGTCTCAAATTTGAAATGAACTACCGCAGTCGTCCTAGACCTGAAAATAAATCACCGCAGAGGCTCCGAACCTGAAATAAATCGTCACAGTGGTCCCGGACCTGAAAATAAATCACCGCAGAGGTCCCGAACCTGAAATAAATCGTCACAGTGGTCCCG